CCAAAACCTTTTCTGGGTGCTGACACTGAGAACACAGGAGCTCTCCCTGTCCCGAGTGTAGTACCCTCCAAAACCTTTGCTGGGTGCTGATGCTGAGTTCTTTCTCCTCCTACTCTTTTCAGCCTGATTTCTTTGGACCTTGTGATAAAGCATATTCTCTTCTCTCCCTAGCTTTCCATCCTCCTCAGATCATTTCATATAGATAAGTGTACTATCTGTCCCTCTGAAAGGCCAGCCCTTCTCTCACTGAGGAGCAGGCTGAGAGAAAAGGTGCACTGTGTTTAGAAAGCCAGCGTTTGCTGCCTTCTCTCTTCCGGCCCTTCCTTGTGGCCCTGCACCACCCTGGAGGTCAATAGGGAGACAGCTTGTTTATGTTTGAGAACGTGGCTGCATAGGGAAAGTGCAACCCTGTGCAGCTGCCTGTGAAACAGGCAACGCAGCCCAGTGGTCAGCGATGTGCTGGGCTGCACAAGTTCTTTACCACAGTACTAAGTAAAATGGAATTCCTTAATTGTCACTGAAGCAGAACTTAAGGGACCCCAGTTTAAGTGGGGCATGTGTTTGCTAAGTCGTGCAAGCCGGTGATTCAGAAGGCTTCCAAGACACACAGATGTTTTCTGCACTGTGATAATTTTGTAATAACCTGGATCTCTCCTTGAGACACTTAGTGACCTGGAGGACTGATTACATGCCTGCAGCACTCCAAGGGTGCACCTGCAGGATTGTCAAGACTTAACAGATGTGGTGGTTTGAATAGGAATGCCCCCGCATAGACTCATGTGTTTGAATGCTTGGCCCATAGGGAGGGAAACTATCAGGAGGTGTGGCCTTGTTGGAGGAAGTGTGTCACTGTGTAAGAGGGCTTTGAGGTCATACATGCCCAAGCTATGCCCAGTATAGTGCACAGTTGCCTCTGCTGCCTACAGATGAAGATGTAGATCTCTGAGCCCCTTTTCCTGCACCACGTCTTCCTACATACCACCATATATCCTACCAGTGAGAGTAAGAAACTGAACCTCTGAAACATCTGTCCATGGCCCTTGACATTTTAAGCTGGTAGATCCCTGAAATGCACTCCTCAAAACTCCCAAATCTTCACTTAGTAGGTCTTCAACTTTAAAATGTTGAACAAGTAGAATGTTTGTGTCTGTTGTAAGTGTGTGAAACACCTACCGCCCACCCCACCCCACCCCCTGCCAGCTCAGCCTCATTGAAGACCTCAGAAGCCAGGGGCTGTAGCTCAGTGTAGGGCACTTGCCTGGTACTCACAAGACCCTGATCCTCTGCAACATGAAAAAACTTATTAGGTAGGTAGTTTTACCTCAGAAGACCTAGTAGGCAAAACAGAGAGGTACTGTCCAAAGTGAAATCATGGAGCTAAAGCCAAGAGTTTTGAAGTCGGCCAAGACTGCAGAAAGGGCAAATACTGGGGTTTAAGCCTTTTTGGTTCTAATTGCTTGATAATAGTGGAACATGTCACCAAAGGCCAAGTTTGTGTCTTCAAACACTAGTAAAACTGCTAATTTGAGCATTGAAATTGCTACTTGGGGATCTCCTGTAGAAACTGCCCTTGAAACACAGCAGAGGTATGTTTGTGCCCTTAGAAACCAAAGGTTTTTCATGAACCCTGGGCAAGTCAGCCACTCTCAGGTTTACAAACAAGAAGCATTTCAACTTTGAGTCTACCTTGTTTCACCATGATGGGGAATTCCAGAAAGGGGAGCATAAGTGTCCAGATCCTTAAAGGCTAGCCCAGATTGCCGAGCCACAGCTCTGGTTTAGAATCTGCCTGTAAATGAATTCTGTGCTGCCAGCTCCGGCTAAGTCATCTGAGCCTACTGGAAACCTGCTTTAAAGTTGCCCACTTGCAGAATTTTTATCAGTTCCTCTGTTTTGTTTCAGAATGGCAAATTGAGCCATAAATCAAACTTAAATCGAATCCCCCAAAACTTTGGGTTTTGTCAGAAATTAATCAGTTCTGTGCAAATGACGGAGTGACGGATGGGAACGACCGGGGCCCGAGTGGGAGAGGAGGTTCTCGCCTGTGTTGGTGATGTTGATTCCTTTGCAGAAGCCGTGCTTTTCCTTAACCCCGCTCTCATCCCTCACCCCTCCCCCGGCTGTTGTGGCTTATCCCAAATGTCAGGGTGCTGTCCTGAAGGTTGTAGAGAAGTAGAGAATTTTGTGAACCCGGACGGCCGCATCTGCTAACCCGGCTTAGTCACTTGTTTGTTGCCTCAGGCTTCTTGTCTGCAAAGCGGAGCCAAGAAGCTCCATGGACCTGACAAAGATTTAGATGGAAGAGTGAACGGGGGAGCCTCCTGGGTGAGGCGCACGCTCAGTAGAGGGTTGTTATTGTGGTGTAGTTCTTGTGGCTTGTACACTCCGTGGCTCACGAGGGAAGAAGCACGACTGGAAAGAATCCACTCTTGGCTATTTCCATTTTTATCACTGTCTTACATGTGTCATCTGCCCAGCAGAGGTCCCTAAGGACACCTTCCTTCCCAGGCCACACCGTGACTCACACGGTGCTGGACAAGTAGAAGGCGTTGGGGAAACACTTGTTGACATGAACTTAGCACCATCTGACATCTGTGAACGCCCTCTCAGGAGGACAGCCCTGCCCTGTAGGAATGGGAAGACATTCTACCATCTTCATGTCCTTTGGCCCCCTACTTGGCTACTAGGCCTAGAGCCACCATGTTACATGTTGTAGAAATTATATAATCTCAGTCGGGGGGCTTCTACCCTGCCTTTGATCATTTGGTTCCCAGATAAAAGACATATAACTTTTATTATTATAATAAGCCTTAATTAGCTCTAGAGCTGGGCAGAAATCTTCCCTCTAAGCTATTCAAATCTATTTCCTCATTAATAACCCTGAGTTATAATTTGTCAGGTTTCGTCTGAGTTTAACTCCAGTTGGCCAGCCCTCATGGCCATGCTTTCATGATCCACCTACCCCATGGCATCTTCCTTCTCTCCTCCTCTCCCTCCCTCATGGTCTCCTCAGACCCCAAGCCTGGGAACTCTAAGCTCCACCTATATCAACTCTGGTCAGCTATAGGCTATAGGCATCTTTATTACCAATCAGGAGTAACCTGGGGCGGGGGGGGGGAGGGGAGGGTTACATAATGTCACTTGGGTCTACCTGCAGATTCTCTCATCCTTTGGGTCAACCAGGCCTTGGGAACCAGTATTTTCTTTAAAGATTTATCTATTTTTTATTTATACGAGTACACATTGCAGCTATCTTCAGACACATACTAGAAGAGGGCATCAAATCACATTACTGATGGTTCTGAGCCACCATGTGGTTGCAGGGAACTGAACTCAGGACCTCTGGCAGAGCAGTCAGTGCTCTTAACCACTGAGCCATCTCTCCAGCCCAGGAACCAGTATTTTAGCATTAAATACATAGCAAAAGACCAAACCTCAACAGTACATGTTACATAGAATTAACATTGCAGCTGGGACCGAGAGAGCTTCCTTGTCTAAATGAAACCTTAATGTTCTAATAAGCTTAGATTCGCTTGAGGTTCTTTTCTCTTGTTACATATTTCCTTAAGCTCTATTGACGTCCTGTCATTCAGTTATCCTTTTTGAGAAAACTTGTAATTTCTTGTTTGAAATCCTTAGAGATCTACTTGATTTTTGCATAAGCATGATTGATAGGGTTTGTAATCATTTTTAAGTCTTCTCTGTAATCATTTTTAAGACTTCTAAAAGTCATAGATGATCTTAGAGAGTGGTCAGTACTAGTAATGTATGAAATCTTAGCACTGAGGAGGCAGAGGCAGCCAGAGCTCTGTGAGTTTGAGGCCAGCCTGGTCTACATGCTGAGTTCCTGGCCAACCAGGGCTACATAGTGAGATCTTGTCTAAAAAGAAGAAAAGAGAAAGTTTTATGAATTCTTATAGAGTTTTAAAATCGGCCATCTCTCGAGGATGCTCCTGACTGGGGAGGGGGGTGGGAGGGGGTGGGGGGCCTGGCCTTTATCTGTTCCCGGTCCAACCTGTTTGGTTTTTTAATTATTATTAGCGTATCTTAATAACTCAGAGTAATGAGCTTCATCGTGATAATGTCATGCAAGCATACAAGCAGTTCTGCTTTGTCTGTGAGGAACTGAGGCCCAGATTCATCTCTCCCCTCACACACAGCTGGTCATTCTGCAGTCCACGTCAAAATACCTTCCATGTAACTCGCGACCCCTCTGTCTGCTTCCTACCCAGTTTGAACGCCATGACCCGGTAGATGGAAGGATCTCTGAGAGGCAGTTCGGGGGCATGCTGCTGGCCTACAGTGGGGTGCAGTCCAAGAAGCTGACCGCCATGCAGAGACAGCTGAAGAAGCACTTCAAAGACGGGAAGGTAGGTTGCCTTGGCTACAGGGAGATATGAAACCATGGGAACCTCTGGTTATTGCAGAGATATCAATAATGAGAACATGTCATGAACCGTTCAGCAATGAATAAGTCTCTCATACCTAAGGTCCAAAAAGAGAAAAATAATAGACAGCAGACAGAGAACAGGAGAGAGGGTAGAATAACCCCAGGTCTCTTGTTCAAACACAGGTGGCTCCCTGCACTGGGATTGAGGAGCATTTAAAAAAAAAAAAACTAATTTGGATGGGAAAAAAGATAGCGTTCTGTTGTAGATGTCTTGAATTGAAAATAGCTATAGGCTATCCACATGGAGACATCACAAGGCAGCTCGGTATCCATGGCTATCCCAGAGCTCCGAGCCCGCTCTGATAATCACTGACCCTAAAGCCATGAGAACTGAGGGATCTCCTGAGGAGTCTGGCACAGAGTGAAAACCAAGGACCAGAGGCCAGAATCCACTGAAACAGAATTTTGAGAAGTCGGGGAAGGACTTACTCAGTCTGCTTTGTAATGCCAGAAGCACAAGCAACCTGGAGAGGAGAGGATGCAGCAAGCTTCCAGGTTATAACTCCTGTCAGAGGAAGCCAAGGCAGGAACCTATAGACAGGAACTGAAGCAGAGACCATTGAGAGAGGCCGCTTACTGAGGTTGCTCTCCATGGCTTGCTTGCTCAGCCTGCTTTCTTATACAGCACCAGGACCACCTTCCCAGCTATGGCACCACCCACAGACGCCCTCTTGTATCAATAATTAATCAAGAAAATGCCCCCACCAGACTTGCCTACAGGATGACACTAGCGTAGGCCGCACTGACAAAATAACGCATGAGAACACAACCTTTGAGTCGAAAATCAGCAGTAAAGCAAACCGAGCACATGTGAGGAGCTGATCAGGAGCTAGGCTGGAGCATCCCAGACCAAGGACAACTGTGCTCAGAGAAGCACAGAAGAAGCCTAGGCCTCACTCACAACGAGAGGGTGCTAAAGGCTTGAGGATGAAATGACAGGGTTGGTTATTTATGTAAAGAGAGCTGTGACCCCATTGTGGAAGATAGTGTGGGAACGGGCAGGAGTAGGATCAGATCGACTGATAATAAGGTTACTAGAGAGGAAGAGGAGGGTGAGCATTGACATTAGAGACCTTGCGTTCACGGGAGCCCTACTCAATCCTGCTCTCTACCGTCCTTAATACTGGCTGGACCCAGTACAGGTGAAGGGCAGCCCCAAAGTCCCCACAGCTCTTGGGAGGAGTAGACTGAAGCAGAGACTGGAGTACTGCCTGAGCGTGGACTCTTCCCAGAGTCTTCCCAGAGACTCACTGCAGGCCCCAAACCTCTCCCGCAAGACAGCAGTCATCATGTGGCCACGCTCAGAGCCCCAGTCTGGCACTGAAAATGTTCTGTGAATAATGGCAAGGGTAGTGGGTGTGATCAAGGCAAGGCTTCTCTGAAGACAGTTCCGCTGTGACTGTAGGTAACCCTGACCTCATTGGCTTTGGAAACTGAACTCTTCTGATCTGCTTGCCATTGGACAGTCACAGCTTTTAAAACCCAGTAGCTAGAGAACAATTAAGATTTGGGCCAGCATTTGTCCCAGTGTAACTGTTTGTGTAAGAAATCGTCCATGAACAACACCACTGCTTTTCTAACTGCTTCTCAGCTGGACGTTTTTCTTCCTTGCCTTGGATGTTGAGAAGCTGAAAGGACTCAGAACCAGGCAGGGTTCTTGTAGGTCCATCCTGTCTCCACAGCAGGGGCTCTCCTGGCTGAGGGGCAGTCTTGTCATGAATGGAGTAAGGGAATGGTTCTTCCCCTGAAGAGCACATCTGTGCTATCCAATACCCAGCTTGTGTCTGGAAATTATGATATGATGATTGCATGTGTGTAGATGAGTTTCTTAACCCTTTGCTGGACACATGATGTTTATATAAAGGAAGCACTCCTTTCTGTAGAAAGACTTTTCATCTTTGCTTTGTGAGAGCTTTTTCTGGTTTGCTGTTTGTTAGGTTTTTGGAGTACCAGGGATCCAGCCTGGGCCTTCACAGATGCTAGCCAGATGTGCTACTCTGAGTTACATAACCAGCCTGAGCAGACCTCTATTTTTAAAGGTCACTGGAGACATTGGTTTGACCATAAGTTAGCTATCAATCATGATAGGCAAATTCATATTTTATTATGAATTTATATTTGAAAGTAATGAATGAGGTGCTAAAGACGTCTCCCTTGAAGGCATAGAGTGTTTTAGCTTGTACAGGAGTTAATTTAGGACCAAAGACCTTGCAAACAGAGCTCGGCCATGGGAGGACAAACCGTGAAACTGGAATCTGGGTGCACAGTCATGTTTGGGCAGAATTTCTAGCCTGCTTTAGCCAGGAGATTGAGATTGATTGCCTCTCGTGTTGATTAAATAGCTATGAATACAGCAATGAGGCTAATGAGAGTTAATAAAGGGCCTTGCCTCCTGATGTCGCCAGTCCATCCCCCCAGGACCATCTCCCTTCAAGAAGGGACTCCCATCTGTCTCTAACTGCTTCCGTTTCAAACTTTGGGTCTGTTACCATGGAAACGGAAGGGCTAGAGAGACGCACAACTGTTAAGAATGCTGGCTGCTCTTGTGAAGACCCGGGTTCAGTTCCCACCACCCACATAGTGGCTCACAGCCACCTAGAACTCCAGTTCCAGTGGATAGGATGTCCTCTTCTGGCCTCCACAGGCACTGTGTGCACATTGTACACGCACACACACACATACACATATATGTATACATAAACACTCATGCCCATAAAATAAATAAAAGAAGCCTTAAAGAAGGTAAAATGGCAGGACTTCTTCAAACCAATGAAGTCAGAGTTCAGAGGGAGGTCTGTGTGTGTATGTGTCTGTGTGTTTCTCTGCGTGTGTGTGTGTGTGTGTGTGTGTGTGTGTGTGTGTGTGTGTGTGTGTCTGTGTGTGTGTGTGTGTTACATTGGTCGGTCTAGATGTGTGTCTCTTAAATTCCCTGGCTTCACTTAACCCAGACTTCACCCCATTTCCTCCCAAGATGCCACACACAAAAAAAAGAATCCCTTCCAGAGTTCAGGACATACCTCCGTTATAACTAGTTTAGTAGGGATGAGCCTATTAGCTTTCAGATGACTACCCACCAGGTACTGGTTGCTGTCTCTTTAATTTAACTGCTGCTGTCCTAGTAATACGATGTTCATTTGTCTTCTCTCTGCCAGACTCCCTGCCAACCACTTCCCCAGACTTCCTAGGGAGGTCCAGGAAAAGGTACATAAGGAGCAGAAGAGACCTGGGGAAAAGAACTGTAGGTTAGAGGTGGAGACAGCTTGTTCCCACTGTGGGGAGGATGAGAACAGCCACTGTAAGGCAGGAAAACCCCATGGTGGCTGAGAGGGCAGAGCCGGGAGTTGCATTAGAGAAGCCAGCCATTCCTAGGACAGGCCAGCCCAAAGCCAAGGAACTTGGCTGTACTGTAGATGTCCCTTGAAATGACGCAGGGCTAGGAGCTGCCACTCGGCACGGATGGCACGAGGGATGCTGGCCTGACAGGCTGCTGCGTTTCTCATCTGTCGGTTCAAGTCCACTGCAGGTGACACAGTAGCTGAGAGGTACCCCTGACAAAGGAATGGGTCGGGAGAAACTTGGAACAGACCTACATTTTCAGAAGGGGCTGAGGGAGGAGAGCTGGACCGAGTGGAGAGAAGACAGCAAGGACAGAACGTGAGACTGGCAATTTCTATGTGCTAGACATTTACCCTCCTGTGCAGTTTTGCTTGGTAGACAACCATTGTTCAAATGAAAAAATGTTCCCCTCTCTTTCCCCTGCTCCTCCTCCTCCCCCTGCTCCTCCTTCTCTTCCTCTTCTTCTTCCTCCCCCTCTTCTCTTCCTCCTCCTCATCTCCCCCCTCCAATCTTCTTCTTGAAGACAGGGTTTCTTTGTGTATCCCTGGCTACCCTAGAACTTATTTTGTAGACCAGGCTGGCCTCGAACTCAAGAGACCCATCTGCCTCTGCCTCCCAAGTGCTGGAATTGAAAGTGTATGCTACCATTATGGGCTTGAAAAGGTAATCTTAAGAGCCTTAGCTACTGACCAGAAATCATGCACTGTCTGAAGAGGCAACACCAATACCCAAAGCTAAGAAGAGTCCATCACCTTCCTGCTGATGGCCCTATTCCTTGCCATAGTTTTGTTTCTAGATTTTGACAAGGAATTAATGATATAACTTGAACTGACCTTCACTTCTCAATTCTCCTGCCTCAGCCTCCAAGTGCTGGGATTCCAGGCATGTCTACCCCTCCCAGTTCATCCCCACTCTTTATTCCCTATGATCTGAATAAGCACAAGGTTTGGGAGAAACAAGCCATCGACCCCAGGTTCCTGCCCAAGGTTCCTAGGAACATAGAAAGGTCCGTTCACTGGTGGAAGATAGTGGAGGACTTACATCCTTAGCCAGGAAGTCTGGGAACCTATCCACTTGACAATGGGAAGTCGCTGACGTTTTGTGAAGAAAGTTCTGTTTCAAGATTAGATGCTTGTGGCAATGTAAGACACAGAAACATGTCATTTCCTCTGCTGCCGGGCTGCAGCTGAAGACAAGTCCTGAGCTTATGAAAGGAGGGCACTGTACGGAGCAGGAGACTGAGCAGAGACTAGATGATGGGGTGGATGGCGGCCATGTTGTAAAGAAGAAATGACTCTTCAGCGAGCCATGAGAGATACTGGAGCAATCGCATGCACTCCCTGCAGATGATGTGCTGTCACCTTTAAGTCAGGGCACAGGACCTGTCTGTGATGGTGTTTACACGCATCCGTGGCCCCTCGCCAGTGGCATCAGGCTTTACAGCTGACTCTGGAGGAGGCCTCCTTAACACAGTTCTATCCACTGCATTTGTCTTGTGTTTTAAAGATAGGGCATCTCTATGTAGTCTTGGCACCCACTCTGTAGACCAGGCTAGCCTCAGACTCACAGAGATCTACCTGCCTC